AAAGATTTTATATTTATGATTTTATTTATACTTATATTCTTTACTTATATTTTATAGTAGACGAATTTTATCTCTGATCAAGGATTTCTGTATTTGTGACTTGCCCTAAATGTACAACTGTATGTAAAATGGTCAAATAAAGTACTCTACTCTATTTGATCAGAAGCATTGCGAAAGACATGCAAGATTGGTTATGCACGACTTGTTTTCTACAAACCCATGCTGATCATCTGGTATGATATTTCGTATTGGAGTATAATATTATTTCAAATAATTTGAAGAAATTGCTCAGTATTGAAATGGCTCTATAGTTTTTTATTGATGAAATATCACCCTTTTTAAAAATTGGGCATAGTCGAGCTTTCTTCTTTGATTGTTCTTTCATGCCAAAAATAATCAAATTGAGTTGTCGGTTTTGTCTTTCGAAAACCTCTTGGATGACTTCTTCGAATTGAGTATTATTAAGTGTTGTGTTATCAACAGGCTTGATGTTTTAAATTTCATCTTGAAGAGCAACTATAGCCGCCTTTTAAGAGTTGATATCATTACCAATCTGGTCGCATTTTTGGCATGTCCAAGTTACCGATTTTCTAGTTTCTGATGAAGTGATATTAGCGCACGTGTGAAACAATTTGTGACAAACACAACATTTCAGTAACAAATGAGGTTGCACCGCTTTGTTACAACAGCTACAAGTTTCCATTAATGGTGAACCTTTTGTAAAACGGATTGGCGTTATAAAACATGAATAATTTTTTGTTTTAAGGTGGAGAAATAGAAAGCCAAAACTTTTCTTTCCCAAAAACTAATCTCTCCTGAAAATATACTCCTTTCAATTCAAACAATATTCCTTCAGTTTTATAAAACCTGTTCCAAATTATTATTGTTGCCAACACAACGCATTATAACTAACTGTTTGTTAATTTGGCATTATAGCTGTCAGATACTTGAGGAAAAACTTTTTGTAATGATAAGAATACTCATTTCAACATTGGTATTAATGATGTTATGTATTCAGAGAAAAAAATACTCAGTTGTCCCAGGAAATCCGATTCGATTTTTTCTCAAATAGAAACATTTTTATACTCTTTCCAAACTCAAATTTTATTGTTCTGAAATATGTGATTATGTTTTTTAGTTTTGAAGTAGTCAATTCTTGTACTGAATCTTCCATTTTGAGCTATGTATAAGTGTAGTCCATCACCAATTTCCCCTCGAACTTTAATTAAAGTTGGTCTTGT